TCAAGCCCTTCTGTCCACTGACAGAGACCGGTATTAGAAGATGGTGCTCCTTGAAGCCAATAACAAGGACATCTTCTCTGCAATCCAGAAGCAGCAAGGTCTGATTGAAGGCCTTACTTCTGTCACCCAGACACTACCAGAGGCCCTGGAGCAGATAGCCTCAACTCTGGCCTCAGAATTCCAGAAGATCAGTCTTATGATTGAAGATCTGCATGATGCCAAAAAGGGGGAAGAGGACCCTCAACAGACCAGGCCTAGGTCTCACAGAACTCCTACCAGAGCACCCTCCTCTGGTGAGCCTGCAGTAGATCTGGCTCCCTATTTTGAAGCTGCTCTACAAAAGAAGAGAGCAACAGGCATACCTAGACCCCCATCTCCAGTAAAGAAGAGCACCAAGAAGAAGAAAGTTTTCAACTTCACTGAGTGGAGATTGGGTGGCTCTCAGAACATTGACAGAGCTCAATTTGAGGAAATGAAGGCTAAAATGACTCCTACCCAACAACAGCACCTCTATCTGGACAAAGATGGTGTTGTCAGAGTTAGGTATGGAGGATCTCTTGAAGAAGCAGAAGAATGGTACAAGAAGAACATTGTCCCAGGAAAGACCATACATGAAGGTGTTCTCAACTATTTGGACTGCAAGCTATCTCCAATATGGGCATCTTATCAAAGGTCTGGCAATCTGTTCAAAATCAGAGCTGAAATAAATGAAGAACTGCTCAGGCTTCAAAGACTAGAGGAAGAAGCTCTACAGACAGCTAATCTGGAGAATGTGTAAGGTTTAAAACTCTGTAAAACCTATCTAATAAAATCACATCTCTGCCTTCTTACTTTGAAGTGCTTTTCCTCAAATTCTTGTCTTTTTGCCTTCTGTTTGTGTTTGTTTATTTCTGTTATTTTCTGCTATCTGAATGTATCGTACTCTTACTATTTTCCTATGCCAAGTTGCCCACCAAGATTTTAATGGAAGTTTTTAAACTTAATATTTTTTTATGGTGAAGGCACTTCTTTGGAAATAGTTAAAGGGTTTTGGCATCATCAAAAAGGGGGAAATTGTAAGGAATAATTGTATTTAGATTTTGATGATGCTAGATTAATTAGGAATTTAGAGTACCCCTTTAGAAATTATGTATTAGAATTTTCCTTTGTAAAGTTCTTAGATGTATTCGACTTGACAGAAGACCTTCAAGAGCAGAAGGGCTCCAAGAGCAGAAGACCCTCGTAAGGCTTTATTGAAACAGAGGACCTTTGGTTCTCTGCTCCAGAACAGAAGTCCTTAGGATCTCTGTTAGTCTTGACTCTGACAGAAACCCTTCTGGGTCTCTGTTGGAGACTCCCAACAGAAGTGCTCCAGACCTCCTCTGTTCTACTCTCAGACAAAGACACCAGAAGGTCTGACACTTAGAAGATTTTCAAAGAACCGGGAAGTCAACTAAAAGATTCCTTCAACGGCTAGGAGTATGAAACGGAAAAGCTACAGTGCATGCATTAAATGCCCATTTAATGCACCCCATGCTGCGTAGAGTAATTGCAGATGATTGGCCGGAATGTCAGGAATACTTTATCCCAAAATAGTAACCCGCCAACTTTACCGGGCTCTACTAGTCAAGTCAACTGATCGCTCATTTAATGCAGTTGTCCTCCTACTCCTCCAACGGGAAGACAACCTCAATATAAAAGATACACTACGAAGAACAACCGGATAACTTTGCCAACATAACATTGCAACTTTTGCTAACCACAAGCAAGATATTCAAACTCTGAAAAGCAAAAAGCCTCCTTGAGATTCAAACTCATTATCTTCTACAAGAGAAGGCAGAAGTTGGAAAATTACTCTTTCCAACTCAAGCAAAGTTCCAAGTGTTCTTCAACTCTTCAAGCTCATCACATACAAATATTTTGTAACGAAGCTAGTTGGAGGAACCCCAGTTTCAACAGAAACTCTTCTTGCTACAAGAAGGACGTCCAAATAACTTGAGTAGTGAAGTGGTGATACTTCAAGGAAACTCAGTGAAAGGACCAGTGTTAAAGGAAGCCAGGCAGTGCATCCCAGGACACATCTAGGCTTGAAGAAGACGTGGAGTGCTTCTTAAGTACTAGGACTAAGGCTTTGTAAACGGCAGTTTTTACAGCTTAGTGGAACAGTGGATTAGAGGAACGAGTTGTTCCTTGAACCACTATAAAAATCCCTGGTGTTGTTTACTTACTGCTTTTGATACTTGCACATTAGATAGAACTGTATAACTCCTTGGACTTGGTATCTGTATTCAGCAGAACTTGTTCTACGAGTTAACAGAAGGCCTACTGCCTTTACTTCTCTGAGGCTAACAGAACTCCCTGCCAGAACCCCATCCACTGCCAGTCTGTTCTTTCAACAGAACAGGCTATTCTGTAAATCTGGTACTTACTTTAAAAAGCTAAATACCAATACAGTCTATTCACCCCCCTCTAGACTGTATCCAGTATAACCGGGACCAACAATTTCTCTTCCACTTCCACCGTAACTTAAGAGAGAAAGCCTTCTCTAAGCCTGTCAGAGACCTAATACCCAAACCACCTTCAGCCGTAGGGAGACAAATATCCTTCCATCTCAGCCAGTGATATTTATGTTTAGTAGCACTGGAACCCCAAAGAAAATTGGCCATTTTCTTCTCCAAAATTTTTATAACCGTTTTTGGCAATGTATCAACAGCTAAAACATGCAGGGGAATAGTATTTAAAACATGTTTAATGAGGATCGGTCTTCCCCCTGATTCAAATTTCTCTGTTTCCATATAGAGAGCTTATTTTCAAAAGATTGGATAAGGCTTGAACAATAATTAATTCGGTTTTTCCCTTTGTGCAGGGCAGATCCAAGATATTTCATAGGAAGAGTAATCTTGGTCATACCCAGTAGTCTCTCCAATTTCCTCACTCTTCCAAGGGAAGTCTTGCCACAAGAGAAGTTGCTCTTATTGAAATGAATTGCCTGCCCTGAAGCCCTCTGGTATAAGCTAAGAAATTTATTGAAGTTGAGAATAGATCTAGCTTCCCCATTCATAAAAATAAGAATGTCATCAGCAAAGCAAAGATGGGAAACAGGATAACCAATTTGCCCAATCCAATAGGGTTTAATTTTACCAGAAGTCATTAAGGATTTCAAACCCCTTGATAAAGCCTCAGTAGCTAAGATAAAAAGAAAAGGAGAAAGAGGATCCCCTTGCTTTACCCCTCTGAAAGGTTGAAAGAAACCCCTAGGCACACCATTAATGAGAACAGAAAACCTTGTAGCCTGCAAATGGTCCAACACCAGCTTAATAAAGGAATTTGAGAAACCGAATTGTCTCAAAATTGACCGAAGAAACTGCCAGGAGAGTCTATCAAAGGCTTTAGCCATGTCTAGTTTCACCACAATATTGGTACCTCTAACCTTTTTGTCAATAGAATTAACCATTTCCTGATCAACAAGAATGTGGTCAGATATGTCTCTTCCTTGCATGAAACCGGCTTGTTCAATTGATATAAGCTTTGGTAATATCAAATTAACTCTGGAAACCAAGAGCTTTGTACAATTTTTGCTAATAAAATTAGATAAACTGATTGGCCTAAAGTCAGCAAAAGATGAAGGCCTTTCTTTCTTAGGAATGAGAACAATTAAAGAACTAGCCATAGCCTGAGGTATATGATTTCCTTGAAAGAAATCCAGAACAGCTCTAACAACATCCCCCCAATGATATCCCAACACTTTCTGTAGAAGAAGCCATTAAAGCCATCGGGTCCGGGAGAAGCATCTTTATTTAATTCCCAAACAGCCTTTTTAACTTCATCATGATCAGGAAGCTGCATAAGTAAATTGTTATCTGATTCATCAACTAACCTTGGGATAAAATGTAGGATATCATCCACATCCTGAACAGGTTCATCCGAGAAGATATTGGAAAAATAATCTTCAGCAGCCTTACCAATTGTTTCTGGATCAGAACAGGTAGTACCAGAGATGTCTTTAATAGAGGTAATATTCTGAAATCTCTTTCTAATGTTGACAAATGAATGAAAGAACTGGGTATTAGCATCCCCTTCTTTCAGCCATTTGATATGTGCCTTCTGTTTCCAGAAAGTTCTTTCATGCTTACTCTTGGCCAAAAGTAAAGCCTGTTTAAAAGACCAGTCCTCCCTATTTTCTGGAGTAGGATTGGAATCAAAAAGATTTTCAGCTTGAAATACCTCCTCATCCAGATTTTTGATATCTTCAAAAATATTTCCAAAGGAAGTTTTATTCCAATCCTTAAGAGCCATTTTGAGCTGCTTTAACTTATCATAGAAACCCCTCATCCCACCCCCATGAGTAGTAGTATCCCAAGATTTTTTAACCACTTCAAGGAAATTATTATGCGAAACCCACATGTTTTGGAATTTGAATGCTTTAGGACCTCCCAAGTCGAGATTCTTACACTGGAGAAGTATAGGGTTATGATCTGACGATGCACTGTTAAGATGATTAATCTGGATGGAATCATAAAGATTTAAGAAGAATGGATTGAAAAGTAGTCTGTCAAGCCGACACCATACTCTGCCATTACTTCTCACACCGGTCCATGTATAAGAGCTCCCAATAAAAGGTAAGTCCACCAGATTACAACTACAAATACAGTCTCTAAATTCATTCATGGAAACCAAAGAAGGAGTGGAATTACCCTTGTGTTCAGAGCAATTAGCAATAGCATTGAAATCTCCACCAACTAACCATGGTTCATTATTTGCAGCAAACCATCCTGTAAGAAAAGACCACAACTGCCTCCTTTCAATATAGCTATGATCACCGTATACGGCAGTGAACCAGAAGAAAGAATTCCCAGCAGAAACTTTCAATGGATAGGGAATCCCAGAACAACCATATTTTATTATCCGGGCAGTAAAACAAATTATCCAAACCAAGGGACAAAGATAGGTCACCATATTTAGAAACATTAACAATTGGCTCAAATCATCCCTTTATATTTTGAAACCAGCCCCTCAATTTTGAAACCAGCGCGCCTGAGCCTGAACACTGGGAGCTTCTCTCTCGTGCGACTTCCGAACCAGAGTACGGACTGATGTACGGCTCCATGGATTCAGGGGTTTCGAAGCTTGTTTTTCAGTGCTAGAAGTCGGAAATAGCTTCTAATCCCATTTCCGACCTTGGATTTGGGATTCGAAGAGCTCTTGGTGACCTATCTGAGCTGGTGCGGACTACTGTTTAGCGTTTGTTTCAGGCTTGAGGTGTTCTTCGTCGAAACTCACTTTCCGATCCTCTTGCTGTTTGGATTTTTTATTTTGGCTACTAACTCAAACTATTCTCAATCGCGAGGTTTACTGTTCATTTACGATTTCATTTCTGCGACAGTCTGTATTGAGTTTTTTTTGTTCTGTTCTTTTGTTCTGTTCTTTTATGCGGTTATCCTGTAACCATATGGCAAAAAAGAAAGTAGGAAATGGACAGGCCTCTTCGTCTAGAGTCACCAGGTCGACCACTCGCTTTGACATTCTGGCAGGTATGGAGGAGGAATTCCCAGCTCTCCAGTCTGAAAAGAGGAAGGGGAATTTGGCCAAACCTGTGGCGCTGGGTCCTGGAGCTGTGGAACAAACTGCTTCGGTAAATGCCTCAACTGGGCCTTCTTCGGCTGTGGAGCAAACTGCAGCTATGGAACAAACTGCTTTGGCTATCACAAATGCCTCAACTGTGAAACAAGCTGCTTCCGCTGCAGAACTACCTGCAGATATTGATCTGCCATCTCACGAGACTGTAACGCAGGCTGGTTTCAAGGATATGATGACTGGTTTAAACCTTAAAACAGCTAAGGATGCAGGACCAAAAGCTGCTACTGAAAAGTTAACAGGGAATGCCAATGTTGCTGCGATTAAGGAAGGGGGGAGCTACTGCTTTGGCAGTAAAATCAGTCCAGCTTTTGAGAATTCTTTGCTTCTTTCTGCCAAGGTGGGGGCTGTAACTCAACAGTCTCCTGGGCAAACCATTGCACAACAACAAAGCGTGCAGGGGAATGGTTTTGACACCAATAAAAAGCCTTGGACGACTCTCTTCAAGGATAATAGGGCTCCATCTCATGGGATCAAACTGAATTTTGTTCCTCCTAAAGGTAATTCTTTGGACTTTTCTGGTAGACTTTTGCCATCCATGGTGGAGATGTGGGGATACTGTCTTGTTGGCTACTTCACAGGTCACTTCCCTGGCCTAAAAGCCATCCATGAACTGAAATTTAAATGGGGAGTTAAATGCCAAGTTAGGATCCATGATAAGGGGTGGGTGATCTTTAAATTCCAAACTGAAGGAGAGAGGTTGAAAGTGCTAAATGGGGGACCCTATACCATCTTTGGTAAACTAATCATGTTGAAGATTTTGTCGGAGGACTTCACATTTGATGACGAAGAGTTCCTTAAGGTGCCGATTTGGGTCAAGTTCCCACGCCTACCAATGAAGCTTTGGAATAAGGATGCCATGAGTGAAGTAGCCTCTATGGTTGGGATGCCACTTACTACGGACTTAGTCACCCAAGAAAGGAGCAATCATAATTTTGCTAGAGTGCTTATTGAAGTTGATGCGTCGAAACCGCCCATGCTTTCATTTCCTATCCGACTACCTTCCCGTAAGGTAATCCAACAAGCGGTGGTTTATGAGACTTTTCCTAAATTTTGTTTTCATTGCAAAAAATATGGTCACAACCCATTTATTTGCAAAGAACTACATGAGAAGGAAGAATTGAAAAAAAATCTAGCTGAGAAGGAACTGAAGAAAACAAATGATATTAGTGTGGATGACACCAAGGATGCGGCACCCATGGAGGCTGACACAGAGGGATTAGAGCTGGGAGGATTGGTTGAGCCCATGGATACTGTAGTTCGGGCGGAGGAAGACACTAGGGATGTTTTGGCCGAGGTACCAGAGGCAGAGATTGCTGCGCCGGATGCTATGATTATGCCATCTCCCATTTCTGGGGGGAGGATCCGAATATACTGCATGTCTCTGAGGAGGAGGATCTGCTTAGCTGGCTGCGGATTTTGCCAAGCCGCTCAGCCGGGGCTGAAGAAAAAGTTGAGCATCTTTATGCGTGGGGATAATGATGGGAGGAGAAGGTATTTTAGGGACGATGCTGAGATTAGTAGCACTTCTTTTTTCTTTTTTGTTTTTCATCAATTGAGTGAGTTTTGATTTTGTTATCATGGGGCCTGTCCCGGTATCTACAGAATTTGTTGGTTGGGAAGTTTATATCTAGGTTAGTTAATCCTAGCCTAGGTAGTGTGTTTCAGAGTGCTTTGACACATCATAAGATGTTATTTTTGGGTGTTTAATATAATTACCTTTCATCCAAAAAAATTAACAATTGGCTCAATTATAGTAAGTAATTTTATTCTCCACTGCCTTATTAAATCCCGTAGCCTCGAACAAGAAGAAATAAGGCCCCGGAATTTCCAAGTGAGATAATTCATCAAGGCAGGGGGAAGCTTGAGATAGCTGCTTTGCAGCTTTTCTTGTCATCCTGGGTGAAGCAGGTAAAACATGAGTAGGCTGTTTATTCTTTTTCCTAGCAACTGTGATAAAGCCTTCATCATTAAATTTGGATGCACGGTCATCATCTTCAGCAGAATCTGATTCTTTATGTTTATTAAGAATAAAATTAAGCTTGCGTGTGAGTTCTGGCTGACCCTCCTTCCATTTGTCAATATTGTCCAAAAAGCAAAAATCACCATCCGAGGAATACCCTTTGGCCACTAGCTTAGGGTCATAAGAATTCCTTTGAACATATTTCAACAGATTATAGTCATCTGCATCATGCTCCTTAATATGATTAGCTTTATCCACTTTGAATTCATCTATGGACCAATCTAATTGTGATATTATTGTTGCAGGTTCAGACTCCAGCTTTGGAGCCTCATATCCAGAAGGTCCCTGCACATGGGGTGGCAGACAGACAACTTCATCAACCTTTGTTTTACCTTTATCAACTTTCAACATATCTGGGATCATTCCTGCAGTTGGAGTTTTATCAATTCCTTGATTCCCATATGTAATAGCTAGAGCTATATTATCATTTTTTTTCGTCACTTTAGGTTTAACAACCCGATAATTAGCCAAAGGTTGCACAATAACCTTAGGCTTTTTAGGGCAGGCAGAATTTGCATGACCTAAGTGTAAACAATATGAGCAGTACTGAGGCCTGTTTTCATATGTAACCGACTGTGAAAACCCCTTAGATCCGCACTGAATCCATATCTTAGAGGGCATCTCCTTACTAAGATCCACTTCAACACACACCCTGGCCAAGGAGGGCATTGCCAGGGAAGCCGTGGCAGCATCAAGCTTCGGCGGTTTCCCTATCAATCATGCGATGTCAAAGATTGATCTTTTATCTTGTAGATGGATAGGCAAACCTTCAAATGTTAACCAAACTGGAACCACATGAGATTCAACGTTAGGTCTAAAATCCGGTGTCCATTTGGTAACTCGCATAACATTACCAAAAATGTTCCAAGTCTGTCGGTTCCAACAACGAACATAATCCTCCTCACAAACAAACCTAATCAAAATATGCTTCTGTTCCAGGATATCCAAGGAAAACTCACCTTTGAATCCAATTAAATCAAATGCTTTGCGCAAGGTGGCTAAAGAGGGTCAATTTTTTAAAAAATATCCCATCAGGGCAAGCCTATGCTTAGCAGCAAGGACTTGAATTTCTTCCTCTGGAAAGCTGATCGCAAGCATACCTTTGAATCTAGTAGAATTTTTTTCGTGACAAGGGCGGATCATTACGATCTGCAAAAACTGAAGCAAAGGATTTAGCACCCCAATCTTGACCTCCTACCGATGTTTTTGCTGCGCTGAAACTACCGCTGCAAATGATTTAGATTCACACACCTTATTATTCAAAGGAGGAGGCGGCGGATCCCCCTCCACTCCTGCCGAGATCGTCATACGTACGCCTAATCGCCCAGAATCGTCTTTTCGCCCAGAGCTTATCGTTCCCAGATATTCTACTGCGCTCTACCTTCCTCCACACTCAACCGTCCTGCGAGTTCAAGGTTAGCCTATCTTTACTCCTCACCTTTACAGCGTTGTACCTTACCTCCGCCTACCATCTTTACTTCTCCGCCAAACCCCTTCAATTTGAAGACCGTCTAACCACATCCCTATTCTATTTAAGTTGTACGCAAGCTTCCCCAAAGGCATCACACTGCTTCTCCAACACTACAGGTCGTGGATTCATTCCCAAAAGGCGTTGCACCAACTTCATCGGGCATCGCTGCTAGGAACTCTACCCTGCCATCACGGAATCTCCCAATTCTTCAGTCGGATCATGTTCTATCAACGAGTTCAGGGTAAGCACTCAAATTAAATGACATTTTCACTTTACGTTGTTGAAACTTCGAATTCGATTGGTCGGAAACCTGAAGGCCAATTGAGCTTCATTATTTTTTTTTAAATTTCTGGCTATTTCTGCAGTAGTTGTCTACGTTTAGTAATTATTTGAATTTTTTGATATCATATTAGTTTGATGTATATAAGTATGTTGGATTTGAATGTGATCCAAATTGCTTTCATGCCTAAGTTTGTTTATTAGATTGCCCGTAAGATTCATGAATTGTTTCTGGGTCATATTTATCTAATTGATGTTAATGAGGAACCAAAATATAGTATTGGACATATTGATAGCAAAAAGATTGAAATAGGGGAACAATGATAGATATAGATTTACATATATCTAGAAAAAAGAAAATGGAAGTCTATTATGGATAGACTGTTTTTTCATTGCTTAAAAACTCTTTTTTCATTGCTTAAGAATTATTTTTTCATTCCTTCAGTTATGTTTTAAGGTATATGGCTTAAGATCTGACTCTCTCCTCTTAGATGTCACATGGTACACAGTTATGTTTTAAGGTATATTGTTTTAGAAAGTTGCTAGTAAAAATGTGTAGGGAAAAGTGAGTACAAATCAATGGTGTGTTTTGTCTTTTAGTCCGTTTCCAAATTCCCCAGGTCCAAAGGACTGTCCTACACAATGTAGTGGATAATGAGCATGTTAGTTGTTCTTTTTTAAGCCCTAGTTGTTCGAAAATGGGTTGCCCATGCCTCCTATCGGTAATACAATAATTATGCATTTTGTATTAATCATGTCACTATTCTGCAAAAGTAGGTTCCCAATGCACTTGTTATGCACTTCAATGTAGGTTATTACTATGTTCTTGATGCCGGCTATCCAAATGTTCCAGGTTTTTTAGCCCCATATCGTGGAGAGAGTTATCACTTAAATGATTTTCAAGGCCGAGGACGAATACGCAATAAGCAAGCTTTATTTAACTACTGACACTCGTCCTTACGTAATGTGATCGAGAGGTGTTTTGGAGTACTAAAGGAAAGATTTCCCATTCTAGACATTCCACATGGTTACCCATTGAGAAGGCAAATTCAAATTCTCATAGCCTTTTGTGCATTGCATAATTTCATTCGCATGCAAGATAGGAACGATCGTTTGTTCATGGAGTACGAGGAAGAGGATATGATTTTCACACGGCGGCAAGTACAAGTGAAAATGAATCACTCGTTGAATACCATTTAGGCATGGCAATGGGTCGGGGCGGGGCGGGTACTGCAAGACCCAGAACTGCACGGGTCCGCCCCGCCCCGTGACCTGCACGAGTCCAAGCTTTTTGACCCATGACCCACCCCATGTGGGGCGGGTCCGCCCCGCTGTAACCTAATTAGCTAGTATGTATTTTTATTTGTGGCAAGTTGTTACCAATTGAATCTGCATAAAGTTTATCTCTAAATAATAATTAAAAATTAATATATTAAATCAAATTCATGATACCCTAAAATTTCAAAAATTACGGAAAAATTACTCAGACTTGAATAGTTAATCTATTAAATTATACTAATAATTATTTATTCAAATACTATATATAAAAAAGATATTGATAATCTGTCGTTCATCTAATTCTAATATATGTATTAATATATTATAAGATCAAAGAATTTATGATTTAATGTATACACACATATGTATGTTGAAGTATATTTGTAGTATAATTTAAGAAAAAATATGGATGTTTATGTATTGAGCGGGTCGGGTCGGGTCAGGGCGGAACAGGTCAATACTAATACCCGGACCCACCCAATTGTATAGGCGGGGCGGGGCGGACCTGCCCCATTTGGAAGACGGGTCGGGCCGGATCCGCCCCAAATGTCTCGGGCCAGGGCGGGTCACTGTGGGTCGGTTTTTTTTTGACATCCCTAATACCAATCACACATAGCACATCCATAAACAAACATAATGTAAAACATTCATTTAAAGCAGCGGAAACATAAATTCAAGTGTTTAAGCCACACTTGACATCATTGGGCGTACAAGCCCCCAAAATAATTATTCAGAAAATAATATCCATGAGCATTATCATAATTGTTTTGAAAACAGAAACAGAGGAAGCACGAACCACGACTTCTCTCTTAGAATTCCCCGAAGCAACGGGCGATGGTAGCAAGCTTCAACTTCTACCTGAAACGGTGAGGTGGCCTTCCACGTGAAGTGGAGGTCAGTACTTTGAAGCATTTGAAAAGTATAATGACAACTACATTGAATATAATCAATGTTTTAATTTCTAAGACCCTCAAAATAGGGTGATACCATAATATAAATAATAATTTACATTTCCCACTTATTATCTCTATAGTAAGTAAATTCATTTATTTGTCGGCACACAACCCTTCTTATATATTCCTTTTCATTCATCAATTGTACAACCCAACTTGCGGGTCTTATTATTTCTACGGGATTTGCTACCGCTGTCCGAGACCTCATGAGGCTCTCGGTTCGGATTTCAACATCCCGCCCCTGGACTCGTACCCATCATCTCGTGGGAAGGTAAGTTACCGCTGTCGGAGCCTAGTTAGGTCTCCGATTCGGCTTCCACCCTAACCCGTGATCACATTGCAAATCCATGCTATCCAACCCCGTTCTCTAGAGTCGGGAAGGACCATGGTTCTTACTTATTACCATAATTCAACCGGCTATCCTCAAAGACTACCGAACACGCCCGTAGGCCAATCCTATATCTATGATCAATTTATTGTTCACTTTATCTTGGGTATCCTTTAAGGCCTACCCTAGTATAACTTAAAGTTCATACCTTTCTACCTTAAAGCATCTCTTAAGACTACTTAAGGCATAACATTTCACTATCCAACCTTAGGATCAATTTTAGCAACATTTCACTTTCATGCCCAACTAGTATGTTAATACTAATTGTTGAATAATATTTTATTGTGTATCAAGTTTTTCAAGAGTCTTGTATTAGTATAGCCTTTATTACTCCTTTATGTATTTATTGTTGT